AGTTAATATTAAAACACTCATCCGTAGGCTGCTTCGTTACTCATTGTGGTTCAGGCTCAATGTTAGAAGCATTGCTCAGCCATTGTCAATTGGTTCTATTACCCGCCATTTTTGATCAAATCATCAATGCAAGGATGATAAGCGAACGCTTCAAAGCTGGGGTTGAAGTGAAGAAAGGAGAAGAAGATGGATTCTTCACAAAGGAAAGTGTCTATGAAGCAGTGAAGAGTGTGATGAATCAAGAGAGTGAGATTGCCAAAGAGATCAGAGCAAACCATGCTAACCTCAAAAACATCTTGCTCAGCAACAACTTTGAGTCTAGTTATATTGATAATTTTTGTCACCAGCTTCAAGATTTACTCAAGTGATGATCCATGTTCAAGTGGGCGAGCTAGAAGCTAAATGCCAAGCGTATGTAGGAATATTATGCACCAGAAATAAAGTGTTCGATTTGGATTTTCGTTCTTTCAAATTGTTTTGTGAAACTTTCTGATTTAATTTGTCGTGCCTGTAAGTGGGGGTGGGGCTAGTTATATCTATCTCCATCAGCACTCTTATTTCATGTTATATGATATGACTTTGGTCTCGCACGTAAGTTATCTTAATTACACTAATCAAATAAATGGGGGGTTGATGTTTTGTGTTGTGTGTGTGTGTGTGTGTGTGTGTGTTCTTAAGCTCGTAGATAATGATTCTCAATTACAGTTTATTTTCCCTCGCGCCAAGTTAATTCCTCCAATATAGAGGAAGGATTGAAAAGAAATGGGAGTAAATAAGTCATGAGTACTAAATGCCAAATGCGTATGCAAACAAATTAAAGTGTTTAGATTTTAGAGTTCCGTTCTCTCCTGTAAACAAAATTGTTTTGGCGGAATGCTGTGGTGTGAGGTGGGTATATGCAAATTGGGTTGATTATATATCTATTTTTATGTTTTAGTAATAGGTTAATATAGTTTTTGATTCCTGAAATTTGGGCCTGTTTTGGTTTTAGTTATTTAAATTTCAAATCCCATGATTTTAGTCTCTAAAATTTAGGTGTAATAGTATTAAAATCTACTAAAATGTCATAAACAACGTTAAAGTGATGATCACGAAAACTCACCAAATAGCACCCAACTAAATCTTGTATGGATGATGGAAGGAGGAAAAAATAGGTCCTCAAAACATAGCTTTTTAGCCTCTTGTTTTCCCCCCCCTCATTGTTCATTTTTAAGAGCTATTCATTGCATTGCACTCTGCTATCCACACAAGGTTTAACATGGGTTATTTGGAGTCTACATCACCATGTTTAACATCACTGCTAGCACTTTAGTAGATTTTAATACTATAGTATCGTCAAGGACTAACGTTTTAAGACAGATGAAATTTCAGAAACTAAAATCATGGGTTTAAAATTTGAAGGGTCAAAATCAAAATGAACTCAAATTTCAGGGATCAAAAATTATATTAACCCTTTATAGTTGTTAGTAGATGTACGTTACATATTTTAGATCATAAAATCCTTCTAATTAAAAAGTGACTTGCTGTATAAAGATATTTAAAATTAATATATACACATTACATATAATAATAAAATAGATGTAGATCACCTTAAGATTCAGCTATTTATATGTTTTTTTAATAGATAAATTTCAAAGACGTTAACTTTAAAAAGGTTCGGAATTTTTCTTACCCAAGTCTAGAGGATCTGTTTCCTATTTTTCTATGGATATATACGGTACGATTATATCAATCAAGTAACTTTTAATGAATGCATTGGATTCTATTAAAAGTAAGACATCATGGTTCATGACACTATATATAATTATAAACTATATGATTCCTGATTAAAGCCACAAGAAACCTTAAAACGTGATTCTCTCATTCTCAGAACAAAAAAACGCATGGAAGAACCTCGTTTGCGCATAGCAATGTATCTCTGGCTAGCCATTGGCCACATAACCCCATGTATTCAGCTCTCAAACAAATTAGCCAAAAGAGGTCACAGAATCTCCATCTTCATCCCCACAAGAACACAATCCAAATTACAGCATTTGAACCTTCACCCTCGTCTCATCTCCTTCATACCCATCACTGTTCCTCACGTTGAAGGCCTTCCTCAAGGCGCAGAAACAACCTCAGACGTGGATCCATCTCACCATCCCATCCTCATGACTGCTATGGACCGTACTAAGAAACAAATGGAGGATCTGTTGATTCAGCTAAAACCCAACACTGTTTTCTTTGATTTCACATATTGGCTACCAGATCTAGCTCGAAGATTGGGAATCAAGTCCGTTCAGTAGGGGGTTACTGGTTTAGTAGCTAGAGCTTTGTTAATATACGGAGAAACAGGAGGCCTGCAAGCAAGGAATAATCAATCTGGGTTCCCTGATATAAGGCTTGATATGCATGAGGAAAAAACCTTAAAGAAACTCAAGGGATTTGAGTTTGGAAGTGGCGTTCGCTTCATTGATCGACTTGAGTGGGGTGCAGAATCATCAGACGCAGCGGCGTTCAAAAACTGTAGAGAAATGGAGGGTCCTTTTGTGGACTATTTAGAAAAAGTGTGGGGGAGACGCATTTTGCTATCAGGACCTGTTATACCAGAGCCACACACCTCAACTTTAGAGCCAAAATGGGATCACTGGCTTGCGGGATTCAAGCATGGCTCTGTAATTTACTGTGCATTTGGAAGCTTGGTCAATTCCAAGAATTGATGTTGGGTCTTGAGCAGTCAGGTATTTAATGAAAATTCTGTTTTGGATGACCAAATTTTAAATTTTTAGAGCTTAGTCAATTCCAAGCTGTAATTAGTAGCAACAATTTTTAATACTTTCTGTGTTGAGAAATTTAACAAATACATGCCTATACTGTTTTCTCATCCCTAAGTTCAAGTTGGTATAGGTATGCCATTTTTGGTGGCAGCGAAGTCTCTAAAAGGATATGAATCAGTAGAAGCAAGTCTTCCAGAGGGATTTGAAGAAAGGGTTAGAGGAAGAAGGATAGTGCATGTGGAGGATGGGTTCAGCAACAGTTAATACTAGAACACTCATCTGTAGGCTGCTTTATTACTCACTGTGGTTCAGGCTCAATGTTAGAAGCACTGCTAAGCCAGTGTCAATTGGTTCTATTACCCACCTTTTCTGATCAAATCATCAATGCAAGGAGGATAAGCGAACGCTTCAAAGCTGGGGTTGAAGTGAAGAAAGGAGAAGAAGATGGATTCTTCACAAAGGAGAGTGTCTGTGAAGCAGTGAGGAGTGTGATGAATGAAGAGAGTGAGATTGCCAAAGAGATCAAAGCAAATCATGCTAAACTCAGAAACATATTGCTCAGTAACAACTTTGATTCTACTTATATTGACAATTTTTGCCACCAGCTTCAAGGTTTACTCAAATGTTGATGATCCGTGTTCATGTGGGCAAGCTATGTAGAAGCTAAATGCCAAGCTTTTCTATGATTATGCACTGTAAATCAAGTGTTTGGTTTCGATTTTCGTTCTTTATAAAACTTTTATGTGAAACTTTAGTGTTTTGTCGTGCATATAAGGGGGCTTACTTTTACCTACACGTCTATCAGCACTTTTGTCTTCTTTCATCTTTCATAGCACGATCATGAGTAAGACACGTATGATATAACTTTGGCCCCGTTCTCTTATTTTATCCATTTTTAATCTTTTAAATGTACGAAGTGGACCGAGAGATTAAAAGACATCAAGACAGAAATAATAATCAATAATATCTTGTGTGGGATGGATTTATCAACGGGAGTATATAATTGAATGGACGGCTACCTGTAGGCTAATTTATTTTTTAATTAAAAATATTAATATTAATGTCAACTTTCTTTTATTTTTTATTTTCTATTTAACAATATTTCACGGGTTAGAGCCGGCTAAATTTGACAGACGTGTATATGTTACTATCTTGTTTGTAAAACAAGATCTTATAATTAGGATCGGAGGTAGTGCATATTTATTTTCATATCATGAAGAGATGTCCAATTAAGTGATTGAAAAATGATAAAAAAAGAAAGCTGAAAATTATTAAATTGCAAATCAAATTTGGTAACAATATTTTATATCATGTTGACAACATTGAATTTGTAAATGATGATAAATTTTTGTTGATATTCTTTATTTGACATTTAGTAATTTCCAGCTTCTTTTTTTGTCATTCTCCCTTAATTGATTTACCGATCTTTAATTGGTTCATATTTTAATAATTGAATCAGGTTCATCAACCACGAAAATGAAACATAATGAATTAAAATTACGTTCATCAACACAAAAAATCTACGTTTCAGTGTTTTATCACAACCGTTTCAGCATTTAACTCACTGTGCCTATTGAGTATCCATCCAATCAAGAAAGATAAGTCTTCACTTAAGTAATTTTGTATTAACTTTAAGTGATTTTACATTATCAGATAAATATGTGAGAAAAACTTTGTATCTTAAAATATAGAAGTGCCTGTTCTTATTGCTTCCCAAACACCCATGTCTAGACTTTTATCTTATTGATCATATTATAGTCAAAGATCCAAGCATGGGCATGAATTCTCTCTAGATGACACAATATGTTTATAGTGCATTCTTAAGCTCCTCGATGATAATGATTCTCCAATGCAATTTAATTACCTTTCCCTAACTGGGCGCCAACTTAATTCCTCCATAAATTTAGATAGAAATGCAAGAGAGGGTCGTAGAGGAAGAAGTTAAAAGAAAATGATCATGCAAATTAAGTGATAGGCAGGGAGGTTTTTGTTTATAAAAAAAAATTGGTAAGAACAATTTTAAACACTTCCTCTATGTAACAGGCACCCAAAATCAACGTTTCAGCATATTTATTCACAATGAGAAAGTTTCAGCGTTTATTGTCTGCTTTTATTTCTCCTGTTTAAACATATGGTCAGGTTATGAAATTAGTGGCTTAAAAGTTAAAACTCTTCGTTTTGATTAGATGCGAAAGCTACAGCATCAGAGGCTAAAACTTGTGATTTTCAAAATTTCAGGCTACCATGGAAGAATCTCTGCACATAGCCATGTTTCCATGGTTTGCTATGGGGCACTTAACCGCATATCTACAATTATCTAACAAGTTAGCCAAAAAAGGACACAAAATCTCCTTCTTCGTCCCCACAAGAACACAATCCAAATTACAACATTTAAACCTTCATCCTCATCTCATCACCTTCGTTCCCATCACCATTCCTCCCATTGAAGGTCTTCCACATGGTGCAGAGACAACCGCGGACGTGTCTGACTCTTTGTTCCCACTCATTATAACAGCCATGGATCGTATTGAGAAAAAAATTGAAAGTCTTCTCATTGATCTACGCCCAAACTTCGTCTTCTTTGATATTTCTGCTTATTGGTTACCAAAGCTAGCTCAAAGTTTGGGGATTAAGACTGTTCAGTACTGGACTGTTTCTGCAATATCAATAGCTTACATGGAATCATTAAAGAGACAATATCATGGAACAAAATTTTCTGCGTTTGATCCCATGCAAACTGTTATTGGACTGTCTGATTCGACCATTAAGCTTTCTGTCTATGAAGCACGAGCATTGGGTAGAGTCTTGGAATCTGAGTTTGGTACTGGTGTTCCTTTCATTGATCGAATGGTTAATTCTGGCTTGCCAGACGCTATTGGATTCAGAAGTTGCAGAGAGATGGAGGGTCCTTTTCTAGATTATTTGGAAACCCTACATGGAAAATCTGTGTTGCTTTCTGGCTATCTTACGCCAGAGCCACCTACCTCCCCTTTAGAGCACAAATGGGTTCATTGGCTTGGAAGATTCAAGCATGGTTCAGTAATTTATTGTGCTCTTGGAAGTGAATGCATATTACAACCCAATGAATTCCAAGACTTGTTGTTGGGTCTGGAGCTCACAGGTATGCCTTTTTCACCTTTTTTTTTTTTTTTTGAAGTTTAAGGATGTACTTGAATTAGTGGTGACAAAACCATTTTTATTCTATCTGAATTTTACAAATTAAGTGAGGTTAGTATGATCTATGTTTGGATTGATGTTTATAAAAAGTCAATTCAAAAAATTAAATTTGTTTGAATGGACAAAAAAGTAATTTTAGATATAAAATGACTGAAAATAACATGAGTTTTGTTAAATAATTATGTATATAATGTGATAATTCTAAAAAAATTAAAATTAAAATTATAAAAATAGTTAATATATTATTAAGAAATATAAGGTTTCAATCTATTTTGTTTATAATATTTATCTATTTTATTCTCAAATAATTTCTATATGATGATTACACATACTAAGAGTTTTCATTAATGGGTAGTTTTAATGCACATAAATAACAATGATATTTTAAGTAAGACAATTCAATTTATTACAAATAACTAATTTAATTAATTTTTTTTAAATGCCTTCAAATTAGGTATTTAATTTTATATTAAAATAGATAATACTCCTCTGGTCCTAAATTAACTTATACTAGTGTGTATAAAAGCCTTATATTTAGGACCAGAGGAGTATCAAATTATTAGGCTTGTTAAGAATAATTTTGTCTTTTTTTCATTGTCATTTTTTCTCTCTCCATGGCGCGCTGATAAAATCTCCTTGGATTAGCTTCAGCATTGGAATGGCACTTTACCCAAAGCTTCTAGGAAAAAGCTGATCTAAACATGTGTTCAAACCTCCACTTACCAAGAACGTATGTTTGACTCATTCTGATGCATGTTTTCTGTTGAAAACGTGACTCCAAACACACGCTGAACCATTCAATTCAGCTCTTCAAGTTTCAGTAATTTAATCCATTGGTCCCTCTACACTTTAGAAAATCTTCTAGTCCTCTGCAGAATTGTAACCGACTCATAAAGTGTTGATATCAATCTATATATACATACTATCTCTGATGCTAATTATAAGATCTCATTTGTAGTCTACAAACGATATCTTATAATTAGGACTAAAAGTAGTATATTAAATGATTAAAAGTTGAATGACAATGCCGTCCTAAGTTAAACTTCGGACACTAAATTATGATTGAGTCAAACTATAAGGATTAAATGTCTAACTTGAATTGAATTGATGCACAGGTATGCCATTTTTGGCTGCTCTAAGACAACCAATTGGATTTGAGACAGTTGAAGAAGCTTTACCAGAAGAGTTCAAACAAAGGGTTGAAGGTAGAGGGATGGTACATGGAGGATGGGTACAACAACAATTGATTTTGGAACATCCATCCGTAGGATGCTTCATTACACATTGTGGGTCAGGTTCTGTAGCAGAGGCACTAATGAATCATTGCCGGTTAGTTTTATTACCTAATAGAGGGGATCAATTCTTCAATGCAAGGTTGGTGAGTAGAAGTTTCAAGGCTGGGTTTGAAGTGGAGAGAGATGAAGAAGATGGTTCCTTCACAAAAGAATCTGTTTGTGAAGCTGTGAAGAGTGTGATGGATGATGAAAGTGAGGTTGCTAGGGAAATCAGACAAAACCATAGCAGATTGAGAAATCTCTTACTTAGCAATGATTTGGAGTCCACTTATATTGAAAGCTTCTGTCAAAAGCTTCAAGATTTACTCAAATGACACGCATATGTATTCTTCGAGCTGTGTCTTTGTTAGATTCTTCCATGAAATTATGTTTTTTCTCATCTCTTTGTTAGAATAAACGACTTATTATTCGATCGTCTTGCTTCCGTCACTTGCTATTTACAAAAAAATTTACATATATATATATATCACGGGACTATAAGACTATTGATAAAAAGTTGTTAAAACATTAGGAAATAACATCTTAACTTTGTAATGTAATCTCTTCGTCATGTGGTCACTTAATTTATATACTTTTGGGACTTTATTGCTTTTATCATGTTTAGATATAAAATTCGTATTAAAATAAATTATCTTGAGTTTTGGATTATAATATATACACGTAGAATTTTTATTAATTTTATATTAACCATTTTAATTATTAATCCAATAATAAAATGAGTGAATCATTTACTCTCTCCCACCTTTAACTTCCTTCAAATTTTTTGGTCAAAACTTCCTTAAAATTTAACCAGTAAATTATTTATGAATTATTTTTTAGAAATATTCATATATTTAATTAGTTCATAATAAAAATAATTTTAAAATATTGTGCGATTTTTTTTTTGGGGTTAAAGCGGTCTTTATTAATAATTGATAATTTTGGAAATTGGGTTTATTGGGGCCAAACAGGTAATTTTATAATTTTCCGTATGCCTTCCGAGTTTCAACGAAGCGTGGCAATTTCGGAAGCGTCGTTATTATTGCAGCGGGAAGATCATCCTTCGTGTTGTGTCGTGTCTGTGTGTGAACCTGCTTGCTCTTTCTCGGAACAATTCAGTAATCACTCTCAGACGTCGATGACGAAGTAGCTCTTCAAGCGTAGTCGGATTGCAAAACTTCAATTGCGGTAGAAAATGACGGAGCAAGACGGAAATTGGGATTTTCATCTCAGAACGTTGTCTAATAGTGCCAGAGACTCCAATACCGCTAATGATCCTGCTTCTGATCCCGCCCTTCTTCAATCCGTGAGTCTTTCTCTCAGAGTCCTTACTTTCTATTCACTTGTCGGGAAAAAATGATGTCTTTCAGATATATTCTCGACAGAGTTATTCCACATTGCCTTATGCTCGAGTTTCCTGCTTATATCCGTTTTTACACTTCAATAATTTGGCTCGTCCTTTTCCTCACCATTTTCTGAACTACCATATAGCCAATCTCTCGATTATTTAAGGTCAGATTTCAACAGCTTTAACGGATGCCTTGGTTGAATTTGATTAGGTGAAAAAGCTACATGAAATTTGTGTGGCTGAGAATTCTGAGGACTTGGTAGCAAGAGTTTATCCGCAAATTAACAAGATTTTTCAACGCGCGGCGGCTTCACTCTCTCACTCTCGTACCTCAAATGGCCTTCTGTTGCTCGTATGTCATTTTTTTTTGGGGAAAAAACTAATATTTGATTGATCTCAGAATTATTATTATTATTATTATTTTGTCTATGTCGTGTAAGATTCAATCTTTAAAATCTGAATATGGTTTTTGTGTATTCAGTGACCGGATATTCAACAATCTTCCAATTTGGTTGATGCTCGATACTTTAAACTCCAGCAAATCTTTGTTGTCACCTATTAGTTAACTTGAGATGCCCACCGGTTTCTCTGTCCAAATTGCTTTCATTGATGTATCTAATCTGTTCTGAGCATAGTCCAGACTTGCAGGCTTATTTTACATCAATGGAGCTGCTACTTTATCAAATTACAAACAGATTTTTGTATGCGTAGTATTATTTTTGGACTTTAAATAGCTTAGGTAGAGCAATTTTTTTTTTTTGGCGCAATAAAAGAAAATAAGAGCAAAAGGTGTTAGCTTGTTCAATGCCGTGAGAAATCCACATCACCTAATTTATTTATTCATTATCCTTGGATTTGTTCAGTTTCTTCTCTGGGCTTTTCCTTTGTGGGTTCAAAAGGTGATTTGTTGATCTGGCATGTGTTTTTGATAATATATATATATATTCTTGTTTCTTATGCTTTTCTTGTATGTTTCGTCAGGCTATTCTTCAGTTTTACCTAGATTTTGGGGAGGTTGTTCTTCATGATGCTGATCCTAGTCTCAGGATTTTTTTCCGTTCATGCTTGAGCAGGTAATTATAAGTTTTCTAACTGGCCAAAATTAGCTAAGGTTCTAGCTGATAGGGAAGTGGGAAAATGAGATAATTTGTGATGCACTTATTCTGTCACATTAGATGTTTATTTAAGTGCATAATCTGATCAAACTGCGCTTATTTTGTTGTTTTGTTCTTTTTCCGTTGTAGCAAAATTCTCTCAAAATCTATATCCATGTATAATATAAAAACTTTAGCAAGCCACATTGTTCATGAGTCATGAAAAGTGCTTACTTCTTAGATTCTATGCAATTCATGGGATCCACACTATTTAATTTCTATTTTAGGGAGTTTGCTGATCCTGTTGTAGCAGGAGCAACACTTGAGTTTCTCATTGTCAACAGAAAAAAGTTTACGAGTTCCTTCCTGAACCTATTGCCTCAGGTATTGCCTAAGTTCTTTTGAGCATTCCATTTTTATGTTTGATTATTGTGTATGATGGATCAAATAAAATAAAAAAGTTATCTGATGTTATTTGAACTGTTTTCTTGGCAGTTTTTCCCACTGCTGTTAAAGCTTGTCGCTTGGCATGGGGAAAGGTAAGCTGTTCTTTAAGGGTTGTGGCAGGAGTACAAAGTTTAAGTGCCATTACTGCTATTGTGAATTAATAAATTTAAACCATAGATCTTGTAGGCTCTGACAATGTTCAATGATTAGACTGCAACCATCTAATTTTACATAGTTTGGCAGCATGTACATCATAGGTTATATATGCCTTCTGAGTACATGCCTTATTCGTTTGCAGCTTTCTTATGTTGACCATTTAACTCTAAAAGAGGATGGTTATTAATTTGATGGAAATTTTAAAACTGTTTACCATGATCTTTTCCTAAACAAGATTGCTGCATTTGCACCTGGTCATGTTTACAATGATTTTAATGGTATTTAAGAAGAGTTAACAGTAAGTTGATAGGGTTTAGTTAGCAAAATTGTGAGCTAATACAGGAATATCTATTAGTTGTGTACATAATGCCAGTGTTCTGCAGCTAGCATCTCTATTGTACCAGTATGTAATGAAGAACACAGTGTCAAGATGTTTATTGAAGAAGGAACCCTTCGGTTTATTCTAAGAACCAGATAAAGGAGTCTTCCTTGAACAAGGAGCTTGGAAAGAGTCATTATGTAAAATATTTAAAAGAAATTGTCTTTTCTTGCACTTAAATTTGATCGTTGTGCTTGGGTGCCGATCATAGACATGTATGAATCCATAGAGCTATTTATTGGATGTTATCTGGATTATTGTCTAATCATCTCTTCTTTTTTTTTTTTCCTGATCTTGCAGATTAGGGAAATTGTTCCTGAAGGTTTTACCGGGATTGATATCATCTGGGTCATTCCTTCCTTTGTTTATATCTCTAGTGGACTTGCCAAGTATGTCCAAATTTCATAACCATGTAATTTTTGTTTTCCTCTAGATTTATGAACACAAATCATTTAGAAGTGCTTATTCTATTTTAATATTCAGGATGAATGCCGAAGTATAATAGATGGTAAGGCCCAGAGACATGGTTCTTGCGTTTTTGCAGCTCCCTCACATGTTTTATTTCTATTTTATGTTAGTGCATCTTATCCCTATTTGGAATTAAGGCAGGATTACAATTGAAGATAAACAAAATGCTTAAAGTAGAGGATCTAATAGCGGCCAGTCACCACACTGTCACCCCTCAGGGGGCCACCAAAAAAGGAAGAAAGAAAAGTGAACCATGGCAATACTCTTTAATCATTAATAGAAGTCATTTTGGCTAAACAGATAGCTACCAAAAAATACTACAAGCTTGATGGTTTCGGAGTATCTGATGGTGTTCTTTTTCTTTTTACACTTAGCAATGGTTTTGTTGTTTTGAAATTTCTATCATTTTTCCTAGTTTTGGTTGTGGCATTGGAAAAGGTGGAAAAAAGCTCTGGACCCCTAATTGGAACTGGTATAGCTTCAATTCAGCAAAATACAGCTCCTAAGGTTATCTTTGACGCCATAAGTTGGAGAAAATTTAGTGTCAATCATACAAGTCTATACAATATAAGAAAATTTGGTCACTTACGATGCAGATGCTACTTGCCCTTATGGATGAAGCCTATACTGGTTCGACTATAGAAGATGGTGCAGGAGATTCTGAATCCGAGGATAACAGTGCTATTGATGTAGATAGCCCTTTGTTCCTGGAGCTTTTAAAGGATGAAAATGATGGGCTCGCTGTATGGTCACCTTTCATCTTACTGGTTGCCATTGTTTAGTCCAGTCTATTTTGGTTCTTGTTGTCTGTTGGGTTTAGTTCTAGTTGTTTTGCCATTTATTCTCAGGCATTATGCTTATAAGTGAATTTTTATCACTTGGACTGAATATTAGTAAAGTTTGTTGCTACTCAAAAAATGTTTTCTGCACTCGACAATCCTAGAATCAATGTTTGGCAATGCCTTACGAGAAGTAATGCATAAAGCTTCCCATCCTAATCATTATTTTGAATAGATTCTCTTTTTATGTTTAATGTTATACCTTCAGTCATAGTTTGTTATGTTATTGGAAAAGAAAGAGAGAGAAAGCGAAGAGAAACAGAGAGAATAGGGGAAATTAGAGAGAAGGGGAAAATAGTAGAAGGCAATAGACGGAAGAGAAAGAGAGTTCCATTAGGTTGATCACAATACAGCACACTTACAAATGAGAGATAAGCCTGTTTATATAGGCGAAGTCTAACTGCTAGTAACTAACTATTATTCTAACTAACTCACATAATTCTGTTATTTATTTATTACAATAACATATCATAGTTATAATCAGATAATTGCCAACTTGACCATTGAAGTGGTGAGGTTAATATTTAATTTTGGATATTAAATTCTTGGTTTTAGTGTAGTGGCATTCTTTCTACATAAGTTTCGGTTCTCTAATGGTTAAATCTAATGATTATTGTTAATGACATAGTCAAGTCTTTCATTAAAAAGAAACGTTTACTGACTGACTGGTAAAGCCAAAGCTGATTATCTTCGGGTTTTCCTCAAGAAGTATGCCAATTAGCTCTTTGATGTTTTACAGTTTGGCATCCTTATTATAATTGGTGGCAGCAGGATGGTGATTAACTAAACTTTGAGGCTTTTTAGGCGGATTAGCCCCCTGACATTTCAAAATAAAATAATGTGTTGCGCTAATCAAATCAGATCCGAGATGTGATATGGTTCCAAAGTGATTCGCTGATAATGAGCAAGGAATATCCGTCTTTCTACTAAACAGGATGTATTGAACTCATAATTCATTAGATACTTTTTATGAATGTCAACTAAGTTTCCTTGGCCTTGATGTAAGTTATATCATATGCCAGGAACGCCACTGGACATCTCCAGGGATGGCTGCATTATTACAGGCTGCGGTGAATAGTCCTTATTCTGATAGGCTGAAACAAGCACTCATCCTGGCACCTCCCCTTCTTGATGTATACTTCTCCATAGCATTGCATGAAGTCAATGAATGTAAGTTCCTCCACAAGAGTCTCTATGTGACATTGCGTTATTTTCAATTTTTCATTATATATGGTGAGAGTTCATTGTCCATAGTATCTGTCCATTTATTTAAGATGTATTCATGAGCTTACCGGTTATTCAAATTCATTTTCAGCTTTGATGTGCGCATTAATTCCTCTGCTTATGTCAAGATATTCTACAATATTTCCTGACAAAAACTTTTCTCATGAGGTATGTATACAGTGGAACTATTGAAATTATCTTCTCTTAGCATGACAGCTTCAAATAGCTTTTGAGAACGTTGCTGTCCTTCGGGATTGATCAGTGGCAATCTCCATTCTGAAACAACATCAGTTTAAGTAGTTTAGCCTGAGGAGATAATGTTGCTTGAATTTTTGGCCTTCTATGTTTTTTTCTTAAAAAAGTTTCCTACATTGAGCAAACTCATTAAGATTGGCTGCACTAAAATTACGTATCATACCAAGGAAGTTTTGCAAAAGCTAGAAATAAGAGGAAATAATTGGTATTTGTATTACTCTTGATACTGCCAAGATATTGCTTGTGTTGATCAGGTGGCATCATGGATTATCTTTTCCGCATGGAAGATCATTATTCCACTGCATCATCTTTTAAGATCTTGTTTAATATGAAACAGTGGATCTTACGTGAAGTCTAATCCCATTATTGTCAGCAACCAGAATACAATTTTTTATTAATTTAGGAAAATGAAACTAATGGAGACTTGGGTAGCATGGGATGCCTAAATTCTACATTGAATAACATGGAATACTTAATGGAGTATTTAAGTAGGGTGTTTCTTCCAATTGAATACCTTGCTTTTGGGGGAGGGTTTCCTATCCCACTTGAACACCCATCAACCTTTACAAATTTATTAATTTATTCAGTAAGAGCTGATTTTTATTTATTTTAAACATTCAAAGCAGCATTTTAATACTCCCCTTCCTTGATGAATATGCAATCATGAATATCAGTTGGTGTTTCCAGTCAAAAGAACTGAGCCGCAGATGTAGTTATAAGATTGTCATTCTGACTTTTGTTTGGCAAATTAGTCTGTGACTACTACTATTTTCACAAAATTATCACATTGTCAATGTTTACAAATGGTTTTAGGTTCACAAGAGGATATTGGAGTTCATGCTCTCTGCTTTTCAGCACTCACCAAATTTTATAGCTCTTTTGAAGGTATTGTTTTGACAATATACAGCTTTCATTTAAGATTTTAAAACAACTATAGTTAATTTTGAGCTCAGTCCAATGGACTTTATATATTTTTAAGATGACAAATAAAATCTATTATGAATTGGAAGCTCATGTGAGGATATAATTTTGGTGAGAGGTTTATAGAGTCAATAATTGCTCGTGATTATTTTTAGAAGGTCATGGCTTATTGCTTATATGAATTCTTTGCAGAAACCTATAATAGACAGAGTGGGAGAAGCTTATGACAGCCCAGAGAAGGTTAGCAACCATTTCACTATTGTTGAGAGAGGGAGTGAGTGATGCAATAAATTTTGAAAATACATTGATTGCTGTCTAGACAGAATTGGCATTGCAATTATGTTGGGCCATTGGAGAGCACGGTGGAGGTGGTGGATCTCACAAAGATGAAGCACGGGAGCTTTTTGAGAGTCTAGAACTACTTCTGTATGAAAACCTTTCAACTAGGTATGACATGCAAAACCCATTGCCTCCTTCTGTTTGGAGATATTGATTTTGAGTCATTGTTTGATGGATTCATCCACTTTTGTTTGCTTGGAAGTCGTTTGGGTCTGAGGCAAGATGTATCCCGTAGCTCCAATGAGGAGGCCTACAGCAAGTCATCACAGTCCAGGCTTCTATGTTTTGTTGTAACAGCCATTGCAAAACTTGCTACACACCACCGAGAATTACTCCCTAGGGCACGTGTATCATTGGGCAAGGTATTTTTTTCTGGTTTCTGCAAGCAAGCTACAAGGCTGTTGATTTGATTATTTCTCTATTTAATAAGGGTTTGCGCTTCAGGTGGCTCGATCTCAAATTTCAGATGCTAGAGTATGGACACGTGCCCGTGATTTCCTCGGTTTAATGAATGATCCTGCCATTTGTTCATCCATCCTAGGTCCTTCACGACCCTCACAAGGTACTATGCGGAAAGCGGGCAGCATAAACTGGAATGAAGGGTCAAGAAAGATGATTGCTCATGTTCCTTTTTACCTCCTTGGGGAGCTAGAAGGTGAAATATCTTTTTACTCTTTTTCCTGTCTCTGTTTCTCAGTGGTGGTGGGTTGTGCAGTTTATCTACTCATGAGCACTTGAAAAATTGAGTTTGTATAAAGTAGTAGAGTAACCATTGCTTTTACTTTCTCTCGCTGGTAACACGCGCATGCACACGAACATAACTTGTGATTTTTGCTTGTCCATGTCTCATGGTACTTGAGAGTTTAAATCAAATCTGAGTTGCTAGAGAAAAATCTGATATTTACATTTGGGTTCTCTCTTGTTACAGGGGCACCTTTTCATGACTTCTCGTTCTCGGATATCATTCCCAGAAGATGACGAAAGCCAATTTGCCGATTGTTTCTCGATTATGGTCGTTCTAGTTTCATATTGAGCAATTTTTGAGTATGCCATCACCGATACTTTTTTGTGCTATGGTTCAAGGCTTATCTTTCTATACTGAATACTGTATCAATTCCTATTGTAACATTGCCCTTGAGGTTGGTCATATAACATACATACATATATATATATATATATATATAGGTTAAATTCCTTTACCAAAGCATATTTCCTCGCGTCTTTTCACACACTGTAAAAACTGGAGCAATCCAGTTGAAAATTGAAGTTCGAATTCTCTAAGATATTTCTACCCGCATTCTTGCAATCTCGTTCATTTTTTAATTCAGTTGAAGTGTAACTTAGTAGGCATGTATCATCTATCTGATCCCCTCTTAAGCTCCCACAGTGCAAAGATGCAATCTTGGGTTGCTGTACGACCAAAACAATTCTATTACTGACCTCATCATCTACATGCCAAAGATATGGGATATTTCTTTTGCTTAGAAAACTGATTTTTAACCAACAGAGTTTGGATTTAGCCAAAAAAAAAAAGTCTCTTATAACGTTGAGTCCTCGTTAAGAAGGGTGTTTGCATTTTGTATTTGATAATATCTTAAATGGAATTATTAAAAATCAGGGGTAGTATAACAAGGACAAATAACAATCATAGAGATAATACAGCATGCCAGGGTTATTAACAGCAATACTTCAATTTCAGCATCGGTTGTACACCCATCTTTCGGCATGCCCCCGTTCACTAGAACTTGTACCTCTGAGAAAACCAAAAAGATCCTTACAATCTAACCAAACAAACAGACATAGAAAAACGTAAAAGGGGCAGATAGTGATGTCTTATTCATACAGCTCACGACACACTGTAGTACTAGATATAGAGTCATATTCTGGCACTGAACACAAAAGCTTTAACAGCCTCAAAAGTTCGTCTGAGAACCTTCTTAATGACATGCAATGATTGAGAAGGCACAGCTGATTTAATAGAGTTATAGTCAAATATGTGAAATGAAACAGTGAGAATACTTGCGACCCCACTGTGGGGTCCATCGTCCATTGGGATCTCATCTGGGAGAATGGCAAAACCTGAAGGTAATATGCCCACTTTTTCTGGGTCTCCTCCCTCCAGTAGTTCTGTTACCGCTGATTTGTCCATTGGTGCATAAACCACATAGGACCCACTTATGTCCGTGTGGCTCTCTTGAATGTAGTTTATCACATAATGGTCCATGTCATCCTGCAAATCCCAAAACAAATGTCTAATTTCCACTAGCTCATGTTGCTACACGCGAATTGTAAAATGGATTAAGTTCCGTCCATTTTTTTAGTAACACTCAATATTCTAACTTTTAGTGCATTCAGCATCTTAAGGCACTTTTCAGTAACGATCAATATATTATAAAGTACTCCCTCCGTTCTTTATTATAAGAGACGAATAACCAAATTACGTTGATAAAAAAAACAGTTAAAATTAGTTAAGAACAATCAATATGTAAAAAGTATAATTTTTTTTCCAAAAATGCTCTCATTAATAAGGAGAGGAAGAGAACAATGGTAATTTATTAAAAGAAAGAGAAGTGGGAAGGAGAGAGAGTGTGAGTAGGAGACAATAAATATGGGTAAAATAGGAATCAACACAAAAAA